GCCCTGGGCAGTCTGTGCCAGGCCTGGACAACCTTCAAGTGAAGAAATTTTCCCAATACCCAACCTAAACCTCCTGTTGCTTGTTACCTGGGAGAAGAGACCGACTCCCACATGGCTGCACCCTCCCCGCAGGAGGCTGTAGAGAGTGAGCACGTTCCTCTCTCAGTACCCTGGGCTCGTGTCCCGCTGGCAGGTCCCGGGTGCGGGCTGGGAGCTGGGCTCAGACCTGCTCCCGTCAGCCGTGCGTGTCGTATCTGCCGCAGACACGTCTCTTGGTTCTTATCAGCACCTGAGCTGCCATTTCCCCGGCTGTTTTCCCAGGAAAGGCAAACAGAGGCAGCCGTGGCTCCCCAGTGGGAGGATCCGCGCCGTGCCAGGCTCGCCACGGGGCCGTGGCAGGGAAGATGCACACTGGGGTCAGTCCCTGCTCCCCATGCCCCTCTGCCCTCTCCCCTCCTCCCTGGGGCCCAGGGGTCATGAACCCCTTTCTGCTCCACAGCAACGACTGCGGTGCCCTGTGCCATAGGGACCCTGGGGCTGGGGCAGAACTGTCCACCACAAACCCACCCTTCACAAGGGGAAACCACAACATTGTGTTATAAAGGGAATATTGTAAAGTATTTTAAACACCACAGGCAGTAATATTTTACAATAAAATAAATTGTATTTCAGGCTCCCTGTGGAAAGCCTGCAGGGTGTATAAGGGGAAGAGACTCTGTCTTCTGACACATGAAAAAGGAAGCAATGAAGCTTCAGAGACCTGAAAAAGAAAACATGGTGTAGTTTGACCTAGAGTGTTTCCTGAGGTGAAGGGGAATGAAGCTCTCCAGGAGCGAATAGGTAGGTCACAAGTCAATTCAAGTAAAATGTGAAAGAGGCATTTTTTCAGCAGGTGAGATGTCCTGTGGTGGGGAGTTGAGAGCAGCTCAGCTTCCAAGCTCTGTGCTCACTGGTCCCTTCCAGCAGCACTCCCAGGTGAGATGCAGCATGCCAGGTACACTCTGTGTATAATATATGTATTTATATATGTATGTATATATGTATATCCTTTCCCTCTCTATGAGCAGGTATTGCCATGATCATTTGGGGTCCTTTCCACCAGCTCTCAGCCTGCACCTGGTTCAGTCCCCTTGTTCATACATGCACACTTTGAAATGCCATCTCCATCTTGATCTTTCTGAAAACCAACACCAACAGGTAGAAACAGCTGGATTCATGGCCAGCCCGTTCCCTTTGCACTCCCCCACACTGTGATAGCTCAGCACTAATTGGACTGACTGGGAATTTCCATTTGTGCTCCAACAGGCTTTCACTCCTCATTAGGGGTATATCATCCATTTGGGTTAAATCAGCTGTTAACGGAACAAAACTTTCAGTTAAATGGAAATCAGTGGAATAAAATCTCATATTTTACAGGAAGTACATTAAGAAGCTGAGCTGGAAGGAATTCAGCTCCAGCTCTACCAAACAGAAACCAAGTCAGCTCCAGGCATATGCTGGAGTGATGGAGGGAAAGGTGCTAATGCAACATGCTTCATGTTGTGCTCCAAAATAAGAACAGCTAGGCATGGCAAGCAGGAAGGCACTCGTTTGCTGGCTGTGGATAAAGGCATGGAACAGCGTGGCTGCGAAAAATCTGCCTCGTTCTTTACTCGTGGAAGTGTTTGGACCTTTCACAGCTGAAGCACTGCAGCCAGAATGTGCAAACTGTTATACTCGGGATGTGAGAATTCCATCCCTGGAGCTGGCGGGCTCGGAAGGGCCGTGCTGAGGTGTGGAGGGGCCGTGCTGAGATGTGGAGGGGCCGTGCTGAGGTGTGGAGGGGCCGTGCTGAGGTGTGGAGGGGCCGTGCTGAGATGTGGAGGGGCTGAGGTGTGGAGGGGCTGTGCTGAGGTGTGGAGGGGCTGTGCTGAGGTGTGGAGGGGCTGTGCTGAGATGTAGAGGGGCCATGCTGAGGTGTAGAGGGGCCGTGCTGAGATGTAGAGGGGCTGTGCTGAGGTGTGGGCTGCCTGAACAGGGCAGTATACACAGGTCTGGCGATGTCCTCAGCAGGTCCAAAGGAATGCAGGTGAGGTTTCACCACAGTGGAGCAGAGGGGTAGAGTCCCCTCCTCACTTGTTGCCCATGCTGTGGGATGAGCCCAGCACACAAGGGGTTTCTGGGTGCCAGTTGTTCTACTCAGGGCTGCACTTTTGTATTCATCCTCGAGTACACATATTGGTCCCACAGGAACCCTCTGCCAGTCAAGGTGTCACCTCTGTATGCAGCCACGGCCTCATGAGGGGATGTCTCTCCATCCTGTCAGTGTTACCCTGAGGTTGATGTGAACATGCTCATGGGAGCCCTGGCAAGCCACACACACACAGACCATCCTCCTGCCAGCTCCTGCTCCCAGCTGCACTCTGGCAGGGCTGGCAGGGTCCCCACAGCCAAATCCTGCTGCACCTCAGCCTGGCTCCAACACCAGCACAAATCCCAGGAATGCCTCCTTCCCCTGCAGCTGTGTGCTCTTGGAACTGCTGCTCCAGCCTTTTGTCTCCAGGTTTGGATTTATGGTGCTGCTTAGGTAACCGAGGGAAACAGGCTGGAGTTCACAGAGCATATTTACTGATGCTATCGCTGTGGCTTTGCCATGACTCAAAATTTGCTCAAGACAGGAAACTCAAGGAAGCTGCCACAAGAAGCTGCAGTGAGCAGTGGGACTGTGAATGTCACTAATGAAATGGCAATTACAAAGGGAGGGAGAAACTAAAAGGCTTCTCCTCTACTAATAGCGTTGCTTTGGGTATTCTTCTTATTATTTTACACAACAATCCAAGTCTTTTATTGAAATAAACTCTGCTTTGGGTCATGCAGCCGATTCTCCAAGGGGCAAGATGGCTTTCCCCTATTGAGCACAGTAGGCTCAATATGATTGTACTGCATTTGCTGTGTGTCTGGTTTGTGGGCTGAATGTTTGCTCTCCTGGGATTGCCAAGACTCAGGATTGATTTTTCCAGTGCTCTCTAATCCTAGAGGGCACCACAGAACAGTTCTGCAAACCAGGCTTGCTCTACAACACAGATTTTACAGGTGTTGCTCTTCTTGTCTCCTTTTTCACTTTCCTTTCTCTTCATATTTGATTTGTATTAAAATTAAAAAGGATCTTAAAGTAGTGAACAAGCAGTTAGTGGATGAGTATGAAAGGGGAAAAACCCCTAACATCAAGAAGAAAAGGCACTATATTTGCAGAATTGAAGCTGTTGCTTCGAAGCTTCAGCCTGTGTAAGTTGCCCCAAAAGCAAAGCCAGGCCAGCAACTCCATCTGCAGCCACTTGCATATTCCCACAGGGGTACAATATGCAGCTGATTTCCCAATTAAGCTTTCCCAGCAAAGAAGTTTTATAATTTAAACAGACTCAAAAGTTTGAGAAATGAATACATATTCATGAAGGACTAATAACGCTCTGTCTAGAACACAGCTTTGAGCTGAGAGCAGCTCTGACTGGCTCATGTCTCACCCACCACACTTAGCGAAAATGGGAACGAGGAAGAAATGGCTGAAACCAGCAGATTGTGTTTTGCTAAGACAATAAATAATAACCGTATTCTGACTCAAGTGCCAAATGTATAGCGCTTAATTAGAGGTCAGTAGAGCATATTTCTGCTCAGCTGTTCCATTTACAGCAATTAACATGTTCGTGTCGCTTAAACTGGGTTGCAGAGCAGATTTCAAAGGGTTGAGCGAAAGCAAAATCAGGGAAGGGCTGTTCCACCATTCTCAGCAGCTCATGAGCAGCACCCACGGCACCCACTGGAGCTCCGGGGAAGACGAGGGACAGAGGGGTCTTAGCCCTGGTGTGGTGTCCCCCTGCCCCATCACTGTGAGGGCTCAGGGGACCCTGCCCCATCACTGGGCCGAGGTGACTCTGCCCTCTGGCCAGCGCTGGCTACCCTCCTGCTCGGGCTGTGCGGTGACACATCAGAGGCGGGTGACTGTGCCCGGGGCACCGGCCTCGCCCGTGGCTCCACACCCGCTGCACCGCGTGGGCTCCACCGCCGCCTGCTCCGCCCCAGCGCCAGGGCCCTCCGAGCTCTGCATCGCGGGTGACCGGGCGGGGACCCCGAGGTGGCGAGTGCCGCCGGAGCAGGGGCAGTGCTCGGTGACAGCCCCTGTCCCGCAGCCCCGGCGGTGTCCCCGCAGCAGG